TTAATGATATTAACAAAGAAAAAGAAGAAGAAGAACTAAAAGAAATAATTAACATAAAAGAAGAAGAAATAAAAGAAATTAATAATAAAGAAAAGAAAGAAAAAGAAAATTTTAATTGTATTAGTAATGGAATTATTAAGAATCAAGTTATTTATCAAAAACTTATTAAAATGTTTAAAGAAATTAACATTCCATATATAATTGCACCAGGTGAAGCTGAAGCTCAATGTTATCAACTTGAACATGATGGATTATGTGATTATATAGCAACAAATGATAGTGATATCTTTGTTTATGGTGCTAAAAATGTTATCAAAAACTTATTCACTTCTTCTCATCCTCTTTTATATTCTTCTTCAACTTTCGACTATTCTCTTGACCAAATTAGACTTTATTCTCTTCTTGTTCCTTCTGACTATTCTAATGGCATTCCTAACATCGGTCCAATCTCTGCTAAAAAAATCATCAATTCTTTTCATACAATCAATGACTTCCTCAATCCCTCCCTTCTTTCTTCTCCTCCTCCTCATCTCTCTTCTATCCTATCTTCTCTTCATCTTCCCCCTCATTTCCCTAACCCTTTAATTCTTTCTCAATTCTCTTCTCCAAACGTTCTTCTTTCTCCTTCTCTTCCTATCTCTCCTCTCCCTTCTCTTTCTTCTCTTTTCCTTTATTCTAAACACTCTTTACATTGGTCTTCTTCTCTTCTTCTTCGTTATTTCCCTTCTTTCTGCTAGTTAGGTAGATTTTAATTTGTCTTTTGAAACGGGATTTTTGATCAAATAATTCATTTATTGAGGTATAAATAATTTTTTTGTTTTTTAATATAGTTATTTGTAATAAAGTTATAATAAAATATATTAATCTCCAAAAACAAGAAAGTAATAACGAAAGAAAAATTTAAAACTTTAAAGGATTAAACTTAAAAGATAAATAATTAATATTATGGGAGAGGACCTTGAATTTGAATTTAACCCTGGTGATGTTGAAATACCATTGCTTGTTAATTCTGAACTTTTTCAACCCTTAATTCAGCAGGAAGGTAGTATCACTCATTTACCGTACGACACATTAAGAATGATTGCAAGTAATTTAGATTATGATTCATTTGTAAATTTTACATCAACATGTAAGACATTAAATTCACTTGAAGAAGATGAAGTTGTAGTTCGTTCAGTTTGTGGTGTTGGTGATACAAATACCTCTATTGAAGATTGTATTAAATCAGTTAAAAATAAAAAAATTGCTGAGAAGACAGAACGTGAACGGTTGTTGCAACAGAAAAAAGAAAGAACAGAAGAGTTTGTTTTTGAAACTAAGTTGTGTCATAGACGATGTTCTTCTAATATTCTTGTTGAAGGTATTGCGTTAGCCTTTATTTTTATTTCTATGATTATTGGTCCATTGTCTGCAGATAGATCAATTGATGTTTCAATGAAAGTTGTTGGATGGTTAATGTTGGTCCCAACTATCTCCTATGGTATTTTACCACATTTCTTATGGTGTTGGGGATGTATGACAGAGGAAAAAAATGATATGGTAAAGGAAAACAGAGATGTTAAATTGTATGGTGGGGCTTATGATTATTTTAATCAGTTATGGCTTTGGTCGAATAAAGGAGGATTTAGACCTGCAAAATTTAGCATTATTATTTATTCATGGGTTTTATTTATATTGTGGTGTTATGACATTATAAATTTTGGCTATGTGCTCATACCAGTTACAACATATTGTTTATTATATTCATGTATTGGTACTATTGATTGTAACCCTTATCAAAATAATGATTGTAAATGTGCTCTTAGTGGATGGAGATGTTTAATGTATGGGCCAACGACATTTTTATTATCTATTGGTTTTTTCTTAGTGATGCTAAGAAGTTTTTCAGTTATAGAAGGATATTATACTCTTTGTGTTCTTCCTATTATTATAGCTGCAATAGTGTATCCGATTATGTATTGTTGTAAGTGTTGTTGTGATGTTGAGGCGAGTTCCTGTTCTTGTAATACCAGTTTTCTTAAATATTTCCAAATCTATGATTCTAAAAAATATGAGAGTGAGTCTGTAATGGCAGCAGTATTTTGTACGGAATGGTGGTTATTAATGCCAGGGATAATTATATTTGTGATATTGATATCAGTTTTGCTAGATGGATATGCAGACTGGTCATTTTCATTAGTGTTTTTGCCTGCATGGTATGTTTTTGGTTTTTATATCATAGTAACCCAACTTACTGTTTTTATCACTGAATGTAGATTTAAAGGGGCATGTCAGTGTTGTCCTAGGTTATTCCCAAAGAATTATGAGGTAATGAGACAATTATGTTGTATTGAATGTACTTCTGATGGATGTTCTGAATGTTTAAATTGTTGTAGTTCATTTTGTCAATGGTATTGTAGTAATTGTTGTAATGATTGCCTTTGTTGTGAAAGGTGTTGTGATTGGTGTTGTGACAATTGTTTTTGTTGTTGTGATGAATTTTGTAGTTTTCTTTCAAGTTGTTGTGATTGTTTCTGTGACTTTCTTTGTGATACCTTTTGTTGTTGTTGTTAAGTTACTACTTTTCAGAGTTTTATTGTTTTGTTTATTAGAGCTGAAACAATAAGATGAGAGTTTGAAGAAATGATTCAAAGTTTTTTATACCTTTTCTTAAGAGAAAAACTAAAAAATTAAATTAAATGCAATCAAATTCTGTAAAAGTTGAAAAATTAATTGAATCAACTACAAGTTGGGATGGAACTTCATTACCAAGTTATCCAAGTGGACAGCCAAAAATTAGTATTATGAAAATTATTGTCCCACCTCATACACACTTAGAGAAGCATCACCACCTTGTTATTAATGCAGGTGTTATTATTAAAGGAGAATTAACAGTAATACTTGAAAATGGAAAAGAACAAGTATTTTCTGAAGGAGAGGCCATTATTGAAGTTGTTGGTAAAATCCATTATGGAGAAAATAGAACTAGTGAAGATGTTATTTTGTTAATGGTTTATGCAGGGAATGAAACTCTTCCATTGACCGAACAACAATAAAACAAGAAAAAAGAGAGAATTTTATTAATAATTAATTTTACTATAATTATAGTTTTTTATAAGTTTAAAAATAGAACTAATAATCCTTTGGAGATATATAATGAGTATTCAACATTATTATAAACAACGATATCAATTATTCTCTTTGTATGACAAAGGTATTTTGATGGATGAAGAGGCTTGGTATTCTGTAACTCCTGAAGCCATTGCAAAACATATTGCTCAACGAGTTCAACAACGATTATTCTTTTTAAACAAACCTATAAAAGTATTAGATCTTTTTTGTTGTGTTGGAGGAGACTCTATTCAACAAGCAGTAGCTGGGAGTTTTGTTACTTCTGTTGATTTTGATCCAATTAAATTAGAGTTGCTTGAACATAATGCACAAATTTATGGTGTTTCTAATAGAATTAAAACAGTTAATGAAGATGCTTTTACATTTATTAAAAGAGTAAATGAAGCTGATTTTGATGTTATTTTGATTGCACCGCCTTGGGGAGGACCAACAAAGTGTAGAAACAAACGGTCACTAAATCAATTATTTGATGGATTGCAACAGTTATATCAAACTTGTGTTAATAAATGTCTAAATGTTATTCTTTATTTACCTAAGGATATGGACCCTCAAGATATTATTACTCAAATAGATTTTCCATTTGAAAGAGTTGAATATTCTTTTGGAGATCATAAAGTGATGCAAGTGTTATTGACAGGGGCTCTGATTGTTAATTGAATTTATATGTGAATAATGTCTACTGTATTTTATTAACAAAATTAGTGAATTGTCCCCATGCATTTCCATCATCAAGAAGTCCTCTTGTAATTCTCAAATATGTGAATGCTGTTAATCCATGTTGTTTACATTTATTAATGATTTGATTAAATCCATTAGTATTATATCCTCCATGTCCACATAATTCAAGTGCATTTTCTCCACATTTTCCAATTCCAACTGTTCCTGCTGCATTAAATACTTGATTAACTAAATTAGCTGGTGATGGTCCACAATTTCCATCAGTTCCACTCATTTCAAGACATGTAAAATCAAATCTAACATTATTATTTTTGAATGTATTAGAAAGTGTTTTATATGCATCATTTCCATTTGAGTTATAATATCCAGCTGTCATTTCTGCTGCATATGATTGATCATTATACCACCAATGAACTCCTGATATTTTACCTGCAAGTGCAAGTGTATTTCCAAATACATTTCTTGCTGCTGAAAGAACTTTATCTGTGTGACTTAATAACAAGTCAAAATACCATTCTTGGAAGAATCTTCCATATTCACTTTGATAATTATCAAATCCATTTCCAAAGAATCCTGTTGATGATGGTGGTTTAGAATTATAATTTCCTGCATTTGATGGTGGTCCATTTCCCTATTAAGGCCTTGTTTGGTTAGGGTCAGTCTTTTATAAAAAACTAAATGAGAGGTCGTGTATATTATGTGTTTATAACGGGAATAAGTCAACAACTCTAGAAGAGGTATAAAATAATAAAAAGTAATAAACAAATTAAAAGATTTATGTATTTATCATAAAAAGAATGAACGAATAATAAAATATGTTTTCATAAGAAACAAAATAATTTCTAATGAACTAGAAATAATTAGTAATAGAATTATTAAAATGAAAACTATTGCACTACTCACTGACTTTGGATATGGAGAGTATGTTGGAATTATGAAAGGAGTTATTGCAAAGCATTGCCCACGTATAGTTAATGTTATTGATATCAGTCATGACATTTATCCACAAAATATTTTACAAGCTTCATGGATTTTAAGTACTGCTATTCCTTATTTCCCAGATGATACAGTGTTTGTCGCTGTTGTTGACCCAGGAGTAGGTGGAGATAGGAGTGCTGTATTAATTAAAACGAAAACTATTACATTAATTGGACCAAATAATGGGATTTTTACTCATTCATTACAACGTTGTAACTTGGAAATAGAACATGTTTATGTTTTAAATGTTCAAAATGCATCATCAACTTTCCATGGAAGAGATGTATTTTCATTGAATGCTGCTCGATTTGTTTTTGATGGTTCAATTAATGGAATAGAATCTGATGAAAAAATATATCAACTTCCTCTAGTTAAAACAAAAAACATTATTACTATTGTCTCTATTGATCATTTTGGGAATATTATTTCTGACCAAGAAGGTGATTACAATGCAATTCAATACATTCAAACACAATATACAAAAGAACCAATTCATTTTGTTAGTACTTATGAAGAAGGTGCAAGAAAAGGATATTCTCTCATTGGATTAATTGGAAGCAATAATACTTTTGAAATATCAATTGTAAATAGAAATGCTCAACAGTATCTTAACGTTCATATTGGGGATCAAATAAAATTAATCTTTTAGTTTTTCAAGTTTTTATTTAAAATTTCACCTAGGCAATCTCTAAAGAAGAGATATACATAATTCATAAACGTTAATTTTAACAAATACTAAAATTTAATAAACTAATGGTGAAGACATTTTTACTAAAATGGAATAGTTATACCTGAAGCACTTAAATATTTTTTATTATTAAAATTAAATTTAATCAAGTATTATGTGAATTAAATCTCATAATAAACACTTTTCAAAAATTTTAATTAAAAGAAAATATTGAAATGAAAAATTATTAACATCAAGTTTAACTTGGATTAACAAAAATATTAATTTATAGGAAAAACAATAATCTGTTTTATCATTTTACTTAGATTTTATAAATTAAAAGGAAGTTATTCTTTTAATTAAAAATATATTAGATACATTGATTGATAATTAATACTCTAGTTTTATTTATTTTTAGAAGATATCCAAAGTAGAATAATAATAATTATTATTATTAACAAACACAGAAATGGTGTATTGATATATTATTTCGGTTATGTTTTTGTTCAAATGAGTAAAATAAGGTTATTTTTAAATAACAGCATTGATTGTACATGAATTACCTAAGATATTTCCATAATATAAGTATTATAAAAATATAAAATTATGAGTCAAAGTTTTTTAGATTTAATAATTATTAAATGTGTTATAATGGAGTATTTTTAAATGTCATTGAATTGAATATCTAGTAAATAAATTAAGAAGTAAGTAATAAAATTTTTTAATATTAAAACTATTAAGATTTATTGGACAACTTATATATAAATTAAATAATCAAGAAACCAAAACCGAATTTAGTAATAACAAATGTACAAACATTGAATAAATATCACATAATAAAAGAACATAAATGTAAATATATGTAATTATTAAATGAAAATTTTTATTTTTTTTTGTTATTATCATCAAATGTTAATACACTAAATAATATTTAAACATCTATTGTGTATCTTATATATAGAATCAAGTTTAATAATTTTTAAATAAAAAATATTTCAAAAAAGAGTTATAACTGTTAATTACATCAAAATTATATTTATGGAACTAATTTTCAATTTCAGTAGTATCTACCATTTCTTCAAATGATAATTTTCATGAATAACTTACGTCTTAAAGAAACTGACAAAGTAAGTATTATATTTGTTGAAAAAAAAGAGTGTTGATAGTTATAGGATTTAAATTTTTTTACGACATTAGCTACTTGAAATTCTCAATTACAGCTAAACAATTAGATTTATAAATTCCATAAATTAATTTACCTAAACAAATAATAATAAACCTTTATTATAATACTATAACTGTTCTACATTTATTCTAGTAACAAAATTAATATAATTGTTTAAAAGATAAAAATTATATTTTCCTATCAGAACTCTAATATTGAAACAGGTTAATAAGTTAGATTAGTAAAGAGACCAACAAAATGACTTTCTTCTCAAACAAAGGAAAGTTCAAAAAATGGTAATAGTTTCAAGATAATTAAAGAGCGTGTAAATAAGTTACTAAAAAGAGCATTAGAATGAATAGAAAGGATATAAAAAAATTACATAATTAATTTGTATTTTATTAAAATTTTAGAAATAATTTTATATTGTGTTTGAGATAATATTTTTAAAAAAAGGAAAAAAGAAATTTAAATCATTGAAAAAGTTTTGTTATACAACACTATAACATCACATAAGTAATTAACTTATCTAGTTATTGATAAGTAGGTAATAAATAAACAAATTTAAAAGTTAAATAGACTCATGTTGTAGTTTTGTTACAAGTTAATAAAATAAAAGGATAAATGCTTCAAATGGTATAATTTCTTAAAAATAGGAATATGTTTATTTAGGATTCAACATAAAATGAAGATCTTTTTAACAGTTAAATAAAGAAAAGAAAATTCATTTTAGTTTTGGAGTTTGTATTATTTATAAAGAAGAGATTTATTAAAAGAAGATTTCAGAACACAAAAAAATAACAACGGTTATATTTCAATGATGTTATGCAAGGTTTCATATGAAATATTAATTATTGTTTAAAGAAATTAATAAGAGAATATAATGAAAGAATAATAACTACTTTAAATATAATAAGAACGTACAGAGAGAGTGTGCGTGAGTGAGTGATAGTGATTAGATCAAAGTATAGAAGTTTATTAAAAAATTAAATTCATAAATAAAAGTACTCATATAAGTATTTATAATTTTTTATATTTAGGAGTCATAAATAGATTAATTGAATTTTTAGTTATTCATAACAACTCCTCTATTTTTATCAAATAAAAAATGACTTAATTCTTTTCCTATTTTTTTCATAACTTCCTGGATATTATTGATTTGTTTTTATTGGTTTTAATAAAAAGAACTGTTTTCGTGATAACCAATAAACAGAAAACGAAGTGTTTTTATAAAACTATGAAATTTGTAATTTGTTCATAAAAATTAAGAAATATTTACTTGATACAGGTAAACAAATTGAATCCTATAAAAGAGAATAATAACAAAAGAGGAAAAATAAAAATTTTACGAACATTCTTATTGAAAAGAGAAAAAAGATTAAAAAAATATATTTTTGAGATAAGTTATTATTTATAGATAAGCTTCTTCGTTTTATCAAATGTTAGGTATTTAACCGATATAAATTTCCATAGTTTGAAATAAAATATAGTTGTTAGAAACTATTTAATAATCTTTCTTGAGAACATAGAATCTTTGGTTGGTAATTCTCATGGACCCTTTATATAACTTAAAAATAATAAATATCATGTCGATATCTGCAAAGGATATTTCACCAAGATACCGCTTAGCAGCAAGTATTGATAGTATAAACTTTAATCAATTAGATATGAATGTTGATGAATATATTACAAGTCATCATTCGAAGATGTACTCACCATCAATTTCACCAACGCTATCTAAATCTTTTAAAGAAGAAACTACAAGTTTTAAGAGGAAAAAACGATTAAGTGGATTATCCTCATTATTTACTAAAAGAAAACCTGACCGTTCTGTAACCCCACCAAATAGAATTGAACAACAACGAATGGTTATTAATTTATTAAAGAATAATTGTGACGAATTCAAAAGTGTAATAGACTTAGTAAAAAAATGGAAATTTGTTGTTGTAGAAAACATTGATATTTGGGAATTTACTGATGATAGAATGGTCTTTTGGAGACAAGACCGATTAAATAGAGACATTATAGTATTAATAACAAACCTTGTTATTACAAAGGAAATGCCATTAAATTATGCACAAATTATTTTATTTGGAGAAGAAAAAGAGATGGGTGAAAGAGAAACAACTTTACTTAATTCACTTCTTCAAAACCATGAAAAAATTTTTGATACACAAGGAGACCCATTCTTTAGTAATGATGGAAATATTTTAACTATCTCACCAAAAAAATTGTTTGAAGGAGCAATAGATATTTATGAAGTACATGGACTTCTTCCATTGTTTACAAAAGTATATCAATTTGTTGGGAAAGAAAAATTGTTTTTAGAATGGTGTTGTGAATTAGAAAAAAAATTAGAAAGTTATGCATCACAATATGGAGAAACTCATTGTATTCATTTGAAAAGAAAAATTTTAGAAATACTTGTTAAATGTTTTTTTGAAACTTTAGATGAGGAATTACCATCAAATGTTAAAGATGATTTAAGAAATTGCTTTAATAATTGTCATTACAACAATACTATTAGAAATTATGTTCTTAGTTTATTTGGAGAAAAGTTAAATGAAGAACTTGAAACGTGTTCACCAATTTCATTATTAGTTACAGATAAAGATAGTTTAATTCTGAAGAAAGAAAAAAAAAGTCCTAGAAATAAACACACACCAAAAGGTCATATTTCTAAATCAGCAAGAGGATCTCCTCATGATTCATTAAAAGAACCAATTGGAGATCCATACATAAGTTATGTTACAGATGAAAAAAGTATTGTAAATGTTTATGTTGATAATATACTAACTATTCATCCTCAAATACTTGCACGACAATTAACAGTTTATGATTCATTTAATTTTGAAAAAATTAAAATTTGGGAATTTAATGAAAAGGAATTATCAAATACATTTATTTCATATCAAAAAAGATTAGATGTAATTATTTTATTAGTAAAAAAGTTAATAACTGATCAAAGTTCTCTTCAATACTTTATTACAGTTTCAAGAGAATGTTTATTAATTAATGAATTTAATATGTCTCATATTATTAAAATAGTTGTTGATGAAAAAATGAAAGAATTAAAATTAGATGAAACACAATTAAATATTAATTGTTTAGATGATTATAGACAAATCAATGAATTATTCTCTTCTGTTAAAAATTATAATAATTATAAAAAAGAATTAAATTCTTTAGTTTCGATAACACCAAGAATACCAGTATATTCATTTTGGATAAGTGATATGAATGGATTTGAAATATCTTCTATTCACGATGATCCTTGTGGAATGGTAGATTTTCAAATTTTAACAGATATTGCAGATTATGTTAATTCAATGATGGTGGCTCAAAAAATTCCTTTCCCTTATTCTGTTAATCCTTGTTTCCAATTTTTCTTTCATTCATTACTCTAAATTATTAATACATATGATCAAGAAATGAAATAAATCTATATTTTTTATACTTTAAATTAGATTGAAAATGGTTTTTAATTTATAAATTTTAATTTTTAGTTCTTTGTTTTTAAAAAATCTTTTTTTTTTAATTAAAAAAATATTCAATAAAAATTTTTTATTCTTTTTTTTTATTCATGAAAATCTCTTATAAAAG